CTTTCTGGCGGGCAAGCGGCCGGTCTGGATGCAAGGCCATCCATGGTCGACGGATCCCTGGACTCACGCCCACCCTTTGCGGAAGTACGGGGCGTCTCGGGATGCACCATTCAGGCCTATTTGCCATTGCTTTTGCGTGGCTCAAAAGCTGCTGCCTCTCAGAGCAAGTCTGCGCACGACACCCGGCCTTTGGTGACCAGGAGTGTCACCAAAATGGTTACGATTCAGTTACCCATCCAGTGAACTTGGAGACAGAGGTGGCTGGCTTTCTCCCTTCCGCCCCACAGGCAAAGCATCTTGGCCCAGCTGGGAAACCCCTGCATAATTCTACCCAGACAAACAGAATCTATGACTTAAGGCAGTGATCGTCTCCCGTCCTACCTGTTTGCAGCTGAACCTGTCTGAGGACCACTTCTCTGCAGCTGCCCTGGGATTTTCATGTGTTTCCAAGATTTCTGGGCAAATTCAAGAGTAAAAGTGTGTGGTCCATGTACAGCCCGAACCAGACCACCATCAAACGCCTCTGAGTGCTCTAGAGGAAGGTTTGCCGATTTCAGACACGCTGCTTTCCACATTGATTCATCCGCCTTTGCCAGTCTTCTGATTCAGGAAGCCTTGATGCACTTAAGCCTCCACGTTTCTAGAAGCACCGCCTGAAAATTACCAATTTAAGCTGCAAATATCATGTTGCCTGCTTATATTTGCCTCCTAGGCACAAGTCACAGGATGTCTGCGACAGAGTTATAACCAGCAGCAGTTTTCAAGACTCTTGTTTCTATCAAGAGATGGATAGAGTATAGAGTTCTGAAAAAATAAATGATTTGTTTATTTCTGGGAAGGGGAGATGTGGAAAAGATTTGCAACACAAACCTTGATCTTGAAAGGCACAGTAACAAGGAGAACCCACGCGGTAGCGTCAAGCAAATACAAAACAGGCATTTTTTGTTTTTTGAAAGAAACAGCAAATGAATCTGTTCTGGTACTCATTGTGAGAGAAAGCATTTCAGGAAATTGGTTTCCTCCACTTTTTTCCTTAACAAGTGAAAGAAAGAGAGAGAAAGAACGAACAAACCAGGAAGGGGAAAAAGCCAGTCCTCTCCTCCTGCTCCCTAAGCAAGTTTCCAGTTTTGGTCTGCACCCTCACATCATCAGATGACTCTAATTGCGATGTTCACTAGGAGGAATCCCTAGAATCTGGATGGCGAGTGCTGGCCCAGGGCCTCCAGTCAGATCACCGTCTTCCTCCTGGAGCTGGTCCGTGCTTCTTAGGACCCTGCAACAAGCAGGAACTCTGTGGAAGAGGGGATTTTCGCCCTCCTTAGCCATTACAGATGCCACAGCCTTGCCGGAGAAAAGTTGGCAGTCCTGCCTTGGCACTGTGGGGATCGGATGGCCAGCTTTTTAGCAGCCCCGCTCCTGTGTCTTGATCCACACCCTGATGTGTAGAAGTTAAGCATGCAACGTTTCCCTTTCCTTCTTCTGTAAAAAAAAGCAATGCCCCCTCTGCATAATTCTGGCACATCAGGGTGCTCTCGAAGGCACAGGAACAGGGCTGTTTTAAAAAGTTGGCAACCCTACCAGGGAAAAATAAGACTGGTATCTCCCCACACACCTGCCCCTAGGCTCCCCTATCCTGGGAAAGCTGCACCTGCAGAAATTCTCCCTGTTATGTTCACAAAAAATAGAGCTGTCACCTGGTTAAAGAAATCTTCCAGGACAATGCCAAGAATGTTCCATAGAATTCCATGGGATTTACTCCCTCACTCAGGGATGGACAGGAAAAGGCCTTCCAGGTGTTTCTGGAATACGACTTCCACCATTCCTGTTGGCTGGGGCTGATGGGAGTTGTAGTCCAACAACATTGGGGGAGGCCCAATGCCATACATCTTTCCCAATTAGCATCCTTATTTAGGGATATTCTATCTATCTATCTATTTATATCCTGCCTTATTTCCTTCCAAGAAAATCAAGGCAGCTTACACAATTCTTCTCCTACTGTCAATCACATCCTTACCACAACACCCCTGTGAGGTGGGACCGAGAGCCTGTGATTGGCCCAAAGTCACCCAGTGGGCTCCATGGATGAGAGGGACTAGAATCCAGATTGCCTGAGCCCCAGCCCCACATTCTTAGCCACTCCCCCACACTGATTGCAAGCTCAGTTGAAGAACCAATTAAAATGGGTGTTTAATTGGTTAGTCAATAAATCAGAATGGTTTGGAAACAAAATGCACTTGTCCTCTCTTTCTAAGATGAGGCGTATCTGGGTCAGAGAAGGCATTCCTTCCAGTGTGTGAGAGGGAGAGGGAGGCCTCTTTTAACTGCGACCCGTTGCCGCCATTGCTTGCTTGCGTCTTAATGTAAGCACAGAACAGAGCACTTGCAAGAGTCCCTGTGTTTTGCTTTGTTTTAAACTGTTGCCCAGGTAAACTTGGTACAGCTTTTTAACACGATGGGAACACCTCATCAATGCACCGAGCAGATGCATCCATTAAAGTATTTTTAGCTATAAAGGTGGTACCCACAAGCAGCAGGCCGGCAGAAAGCAATTTTAGGCCCTTTTGAAGAAGCCTCTCCCCCTGCACCGAGGCAGAGAAAAGAACACCTGCCAGGAACGCACCCACCGGCCCCTCTCCTTCTGCTAGAACCCCTCGGTCCCCCACCGGGAACCATCCCTCCCTCCCACCCTGGGAGCCTCCAGATGTTTTGGGCCAGAACTCTTTGCATCCCCCAGGTGGCACGGCCAGCCAGGTGGTCTTGGTAATAATACCAGTCCAAATCCGCTGGAAGGTGCCAACTTGGGCAAGACTGTACCAGGCCCAAAGGAACGTTCTGAATCAGAAACTGTCTTCAATCGACTGCAAAACACTCAGAAATCGACCAGTACATCTTGGTCTATCTTCTGCTCAAAATCAAAGAAAATGTGCCTTTTAAAAAAGAACTATAGGGTTGGATCCAGAGGGGGGTCATACTTACAGTGGACCCATTGAAATCAATGGGAAGGAAGTGAACCATGCTAGCATGGTCTATAACAAAGCCTAGCTAAATCCATGACTGTTTTTCCCTTCAAATATTACATGATTTTAAGTGGCTAATTAAGCCACTAATAGGAATGATTTCTTTAGTCAGGTGACACTAGCCCTGATTTACGTGATGCGAAAAAATTCTGATTCGGTTAGCTGAACCAGTTCACAATTGTACTAAGGACACAATTGTACTAAGCTGACACCTGTTAGATGGAAATCGCCATAGACCTGCTAAAACTCCTCGTGAGTCAAGGCACGCCTGCGAGTTGCCTTTCTGGAGCTGGGAGGTGCCATGGGAAGCGGCCTCTGTGGCCTTCGCCCCGGCCACGAATGCTTCCCCTCTTTCCACTGGCTCCCAACTAAATTTGCACTGCCCTCCTGCCTGCTTTTTTGAACTACAACCTCCACCATTCCCGCCAGCCAGATGGGAGTTGCCATCCAAGAGACCGAGGGGGCACCTGCTTGAGTGAAGCTGCCCCAAGTCACCTGCCAAATCCGGCCAATACGGCCCAGGTCGCCAGCTCTCCTTTCGGCACTGCAGCCGGGCCTCGGGCAGCGTTTCCGGCTGATGCTTGCTGGCAAGCACGCCGACCTCGCCGCTGCTAAAAAGCTTTTGCTTTCCGTCGATCGATGGGCTCTTGAAACCCATCAGGAAGTCCAGTGCGGGGTTTGCAAGTCAATTGGCCACCCTAGGCAGGACAGGGCACGCACACAGACTAGACTTCCTGGAGCATGGTGCCGTTTCCTCCTCCGTGCCCTGCGTGGAGGATTTGGCATGTTCGGATTCCCCAAGCAAAGGATCCGGGAGCAGTGCAACCCACCCAGACAGAGAGTTGCCACGTTTTTCAAAGCAGCCCTGTTTCTCTGCCGTTAACAGCACTTCCCGGGCAGAAATTTAGCAGCCGAAACGTTTTCTGATATGGGATCGCAATGGCAGAAGATGGCAGGCACCCTGTCCTAGGCGGGTGCATCTGAGAGCAGCTGGCATGAACCAAGCATGGGTTCCACAGCAAGACTGGCTCCAAAGCCTCTTTGAAAGCCAGCCCACCAGGCGGCCAGCCTCTGCAGCAAGCCCGGTAGCGGTGCGTTTGCGGCAGCCGGGTGTGCGGACAATAGTAAGGACAACGGATCCCACGCTGCTCCTGCGCAGTCTGTCCTGCCCTTTCATTCCGGCCAGTTGGCCACCTGGCTAGCAAGCCTCGGCAGGCTCTCCCTTGCCCCGAAAGGGAATTCTTGGCCCTTAATTCCTGAGCTGGAAGAGCCAAAAGGAGACACTGGGCAGGCTTCTGAAGTGTGCTCAACCATTATAGAAATAAATTTTACGGTGTGTCTCTTTTAGGCCTCAACCCCAGGCAGTGACTTACTTTTCTGGCTTACCTGGCTGACACACATCACACAGGCTGCCAACTGTCCAGAAAACAAACGAAGGAACAGTCAAAAACCGGCCTTTGTTTCTTCCATGCCTTCAACGCAAGCCAGCCCAGCCCTTAAGGCATCTTTTGAAATTCACAGCAGGGAGAGTCTAACAAGGAACCAGGATTCTTGCTCACCTAACTGCCACCCGAGGCACAGCTGCAGCGGTCAGTTGCGAAGCTGGCAACCTTTGTCCATGTCCTAGTTTAGTCAAAGGGTCAGGAAGAAAAGGTTCTTTCGACCCAATGAACTAGTCAGATTTTTGGCATCAGCACGTCATTTTTCAGGGACAAAAAGAGCCCCCTTTGGCAGAAACTGAGCGTGCATGTAAGCGTGCATATCTAGTGCTGCAGATGCACACGCACACACGCACACACAGCTGCAGCATAACCAACTTTCTCAACAGCTGGTTTCTTCCTTCCGAGCTCCCCCACATCCCTCCTTTTGCAAACACAAAAGCCAAAAATAAATAGAATCCCCGCCCGGTTTAAATAATGGAATAGGTCCCGCTCCTCGGGAGCTGAGCCCCGGAGCCCTCGCTCGCTCACCCCCGCCGCCCCCTCACCAGGCAGTCTGCGTCCACTGCCTGCACAAGATCTTCCTAAAAGCCTTGCGGAAGTCCTGGTTGAAGATGGTGTAGATGACCGGGTTCAAGGAGCTGTTGCAGTAGCCAATCCAGAAGAAAAACTTGAAGGTGCTCTCTGGGATCGGGCAGTACTCGGGGGGACAGACGGCCCGGAGGCTGTAGAGGAAGAAGAAGGGGAACCAGCAAATCACAAAGACCCCGATCACCACCGCCAGGACAAAGGTGAACCTCTTCTCCCGGTTGAGGTGCGCCTTCTTCTTCCAGGGGTTGGCACTGAGCGTCTTCACCCTCCTCACCAACAGGACCTCCCCTTTGGCCGTGGCCAAGGTGTCCATGCCCTGCGGGGAGCCCTGCGGGGGCCCGTTGCTCTGCTTGATGCTGCCCCGGGGAGAGCCTTCCAGCTGGCTGGACCCTGAGGATGGCTTCTTCTCCGGCAGGGACTGGGAAGGGCTGACTCCAGAGGCAAGCTCCGTGGCCTCCCGGGTCATGAGAGAAAAGTTTTCAGTGGAGAGACACTGGGTCTCCGGCTGGCCTCCTTCCTGAAGGGGGATCTGAAGCCCGTTGGGGTCGCCTTCTCCCAGGGGCTGGGGCTGGTCCTGCTTGGGGGAGGGCTCGGTGGATGGGCCGATGAGGGTGGGGGACGCCCCTTCCCCTGCCTTGGCTGGAGGCTTCTTGGCCCTGGGGGCCTGCCTGCTTCGGCGCTTGGCAATAACGTAGATCCTGAGATACACCAAGATCATGATGACGCAGGGAGCGAAGAAGGAGCAGGTGCTGGAGGACAGGATGTACCAGGGCTCCTCGTTGAGCTCACACCTCCTGGCATCCTCCTGGGCATCGCTGGGGTGCTCGTTGAGCACCAGCGGGGGCAGGGAGATGACGGCCGCGATCAGCCACACGATGAGGATGGTGCACTTGATCCTCCGCGGGGTCCGCTTGGAGTTGTACTCGATGGCGCGGCTGATGGACCAGTAGCGGTCCAGGCTGATGGCACAGAGGTGCACGATGGAGGCGGTGCAGAAGAGGACGTCCAGGGCCAGGTAGGCCTTGCACCAGGTCCGGCTGAAGTACCAGTAGCCCATCAGCTCGTTGGCCAGGGAGAAGGGGATGATGAGCGTGGCCACCAGGATGTCCGCGGCTGCCAGGGAGACCAGGAAGAGGTTCTGAGGAGCCTTCAGGGACCGGCTGGTCAGCACGGCGATGATCACCAGGACGTTGCCGAAGATGGTGAAGAGGATGAGGAAGGTGGTGACGGCGGCAATGGCGGCCGTGGCTTGGACGTTGTAGCCGCCGTGGTTGCCCGTCATGGCCATGGCTGATGAGAGGCCACGGCCCCTCGCGAGTCCGGGAGGGAGGGGAGGTTCACAGGCGTGGGGAGGCCCACGGGTCGGACGAGCCCATGAGCCCGGGCCGGAGGAGAAGGGGCAGGCGGTCAGGGAGCCGCCGGCCTCGCTGCCGCTTCCCGCGGTTCCGGCATCCCGGGCTTCGGGCTGCAGGAGCAGCCGCCGCCGCCGCCGCCGCCGCCGCTGCGCTCGGGCGGCGATTCCGCGCTAACTCTCCGCACCGCTCCCGCTGCTCCGCGGCGGCGGCGCCGCGTCCGGCTCCCGCGGGTCGCTCGGTCCTCCCGCTCCCGGGCGGCGGCGCAGCGCCAGCTCGGCCGCAGCAGCCGAGAAGTTTCCCGCGCCACCTCCGCCGGCTTTCCGAGAAAGTTGAGCGAGCTGCTCAGCCTCGCTGCTGAAAGGCACTCCGCGTGCGCGCTCTCGCTCGCTCGCCCGCCCGCTCGCCCCCCCTCCGCCCCCCCTCGCGGCTGGCTGTGGACAGAGCAAGCCTTTCCGCGCCTTTGGGAACGAGCTGCGGGAGGACTTGGGTCTTTCTCTCCACGCTGCATCGCTGACGTCTGATGCCAGGCAGTTCTGCAGCTCGTGGCAAGCTCCGGGGGGGGGGCGGGGGGCAAAGAGGGGGCATGTGCAGCGGCCGCGCGCACGCGGCGCGCACACGGCCGCTGCAATAGATTCTCCAGGAAGCTGCTCGCCTCCTTGCAACTTGCTCCTGATAGCCGAGTCTTCCGAGCGAGCATCACGCCGGCCGGGTGCGCGCTTCCTCCCATGCAAAGTCACTCTCTCACTAACTGCTTGCTGATGGCCGCGGGAAGGCAGCTTTCCGTCCGAGCGGGGCCACGCTTCTTCTAACCCTCTGGGAAAAAAGCCCTGTTGGGAAAATAGGATCTGGCACGCCACCTTCCCGGTTAAATCATCCCTCAAATTCAGTGCAGTCCGTCCCTGCTGGCCTGGAGGAAAGTTGTCCATGGAGTCGCGATGGGTCGGAGCGACTTCGCGACTAGCAGCAGCAACATCCCTGCTGGACACTGAAATTGCAAAGCAAAGCAAAGTGGAACATTCTCTGTGGAACAGTGGGCCCCAAGCCACTGATCGGCCTCACTGAGTGGAGAAAGGTCAGTTTCCCTCCCCTCTGCACAGCCTCAGGGGTGCTGCCAGGGCTGGACCCCAGGCCGAGATCCCCGGTGCCACAGCCCGGCATTCTCCCAGAGAGCAGCAGGTGGCAAAGCGATCAGGGCAACAAACACTCCGCCTGCTTTTCTTCCTATGGTCATGATAGAAGTGAGCCCAGAATGTCAAATGGTTCGCGCTTGGAGCAGAGTAATATTTGATGGGCCTCCAAGCCTTCTGGCCGTTCTTCTAGAGTATCAGGCGTGTGGAAGCCACACTGGGAGGGGCAGTGCAGGAAAACAGAGAGGAGTGTGGCTTGTCTGCTTCAGAACGGAAATGATGTGTGTTGTCTTCTAAAAGGAGGAGGTAAGATCCCCAGATGTTCGCTCTCCTGCTGGCCAGGGCCTCTGGATCTTGAAGTCCCCACATCTGCACTTGAGGAGGAGAGAGTGCCGAGAAAGGCAGCTGGACCGATGAAGGGGCGGAGCAGCCGCTACAACGGGGGTTGTTCAGCTCAGACAAATGGGCACGTGAGCGGGGGCATGATAGAGCCGTGCAGAGTTACGGATGGTGTGGAGAAAGGAGAGAGGGAGGCCTGTGGGAACCCATGAAGCGGACGGGGGGCTTCTTCGCAGCACATGGAATTCACTGCCACGGGAAGTGGTGATGGCCCCAGTCTGGATGTTTTTAAAAGGAGACTGGACCCCCTCATGGAGGAGGGGGTTACCAGTGGCGGCTGGCCTAGCTGGCTGTGTGCCAGCCACAGAGGTGGCCTGCCTGTGCACACCAGCTGCTGAGGAGCTGGGGCAGGCGGACCTCTTGCGCCCACCCTGCTTGGGGACCCTGCAGGTCGCTGGTTTGCCACTGTGTGAATGGGGTGCTGGACTGGATGAGAGGCAGAAATGTCTAGGGACGGGGGTGGGGGGCAGAAGCAGGGGCTTCAGGGATGGTGGGGTTAGGTGTGAGAGGCCAGGAAGGCCAGGAGAAGCAGAGGGCTGGTGGAGAGAGGAAACCTCAGCGTCTGGGGCAAACCTGAGAAAAAATGAGGACCAAACTTCACACATTCACACAACGTGAAAACTCCCACTCAGAGGCCCAGTATGGCTTGAGTGTGGGTGGTTGTTGAAAAGTGGCTTATCGTGCTAGCTGAACCCAGCCCTGGTATCAACCCATGAGGAGAACCCATGGTTTGTTGGTAGGTTGTGAACTGCGTCTGTGTTAAACAAACTGTGGTTTGTTAGCAAGGCTCAGTTCAGGCAGGAGAACTACCCATATTTCAATGGAAACCCTCACGCAGCTCATACTCAACCCATGATTGTCTGAACCCAGCGTATGGCATAAAGCTTGCAGGGGGGCCATCTTGCCTATTTTAGGAAGGACAATCTGCTGTCTGAAGGGCTGTGGAGGGCAGCCCTGCATTCTGAGCATGGCTTCTGCTATCAGGGCTGCCTGGTCCAGTTTAAAGATACGAAACCAGAAGGGTGGAGCATAGAGCTGAGACTTGTAGGTGGCTCTCCATACCTGGCAGCTGGATGTTTGACCCCCTGTTCAGTATTCCCTGCTATGCTCTTAGATGCATTGTATTTAAATGTATATCTAGAAATTATTTCTAGACTTGCCCCTCTCTAGATAAATTAACACATGCAAATGTCGTGCAAATCTGTATCCTTTTTTGTCTTCTGTTTGGGCAACAAGGTAGGCTACAGGCTTGCCAAATCTTTGGAGGCCCGCAAAGCTAATTTCCCCTCAAATTCTTCCAAGTGCATGCAAATGCTCCCTTGCGCCGCGTAATAAATACACAATGTGGATGAAATGTTGCCACCAAAAACAAATATTGATTCCGCCCCCCCATGTTTGTCTCTTGATTCCATTCACTTGTGTGTGGGATGGATTTATAAGGACAATTAAACTGCTGACAAATTATGGGGAATGGATGCCTTCTGACAGGCTGCTATTGAGCTGATAGATACAAAACACACAATAGGGAGGGAAGTTTATTTATATGGCAAACATCACCATTTTTCATGAACCAGGAAAGGAGCGAGCAAGGCTGCCTCCTCCTTTCACAGTGAATTATTAAGAGAGTTTAGGGCTTTGGTTTGTCTAAACTTGCACAGGGTTGCCTCTTTGGAGTGTTAAAAATTAGCCACCCCCAGCATCTCTGGGAAGGGCTCAGCATCATTCTGCCAGGCCCCTTTTTCCAGTCACAGCCACCTTTTCCCATCAAGCAGAAACAAACTGCTTGGGGTGGAGTTGTGCTCATCACCGTCATTAGAGGCCCCCTGAGAAACCGAAGCCTGCTTGTGCTAAGTGCTCTAAAGTGCAGGCACCGAAAGGCAGACAGTCTCTGCCCCAGACAGCCTACAATTATAAATGGAGCCAACGGGAGGAGGAAGCTCAGAAGGGGGGCACATGGGCCTGGCAAGCAGGCACAAGACGGACGAGGTGCTAGCTTGGCTCCTGCATTCCTCTAACCACATCGCCTTCTGCTCCTGTGGCAGAGACTTTGCGGAAGAAAACTCCATCACGGGCTTTCAAACAGATCAGAATGCAGGGCTGTTTCGGGGAAATGATGAGAACGAAATACCTCCGTTAGGGAGCTGCCAGGGTGTTTGTCTGCCAGTTCTTAGGCCTCTGCCTTCCTCGGGAACTCTTCCTTTTCCAAGCGCTCTCCAAAATTGTCCTCAGAATTATTTTCAGGAGCCTCCAGATTTTTTCCCCCCTGAATATTTGTTCTAGGTGCATTTGACCTCCTTGCCAGTGATGTGCACTCGTGCTATCTGATACTCAGCAGTTGATACTGGATTGGTACTTGACAGGTGGTGTGCAACATTTGTGGATTTGATGCTTTGCAAACGAGTCAAGAGATGCCAGCTAAATCCGAGGTCCTTGTCCGGCATCTGTGATACTGAATGTCTGAAAGGGGCTTGCTTTGCAGTGCTGCAGGTCCTGATTTGGGATAAAAATGTACACCACTGAGGCTGTAAATAGCAGGTCCATGCCTCCCTGTAGGACCGGCCGTGGGGAAATGGCAGCATGGCGGAGAAAAGGACTCCTGCCCCCTCTTGAGAGGCCTCACTCGCACCAGTGGAAACGCCATGCAAGCTGGAACAGCTGGGGTAATTTCCGGAGTGGGGCCCTGCTCTGGGGCAGGGTAATTGCCCTCCTGGCATCAGACCCCCGGGGTGCCATGGGGAGGGGGCACCACTTCGCCAGCCAACTCCTCAGGAGGAAGAGGCTTTGCTCGCCTGTCCCCTGAGTGAGCAGCCGGGCATCTTCTCCCCGTGGACGCTCCGGGATCGGCCCCTCATGCTGTGCTTGCTCAGGTCCAGGGCTCCCTTTATGCTCCCCCCAGGAGACAAAGAGCAGCTTTTGGGGAGAAGGTTTGGATCGGAAAGACGGTGCCTGGAAGGGAGCGCTAACCACTGCTCCCACTTCACCCAGTTTTATTTGGGGGGGGGGCGACCTATGTTGGAGGACACACTGGGGCAAATAAGAATAGGTGACCCTAATCGCCATCCTCTTGCCTCCGCGCCAGGTGCAGGCTACGGCTGGCACAGCACATGAGGAAGACACAGATGCACAACTGCCTGTTCGATAAGCTCTCACCGAGTGTCGGAAGGTAGAAAGGGGGATGAATGAGGGCTTTGAATGTCTAGGTTGTATTTGTTTAGATTTACCTTAGCAACTGTGTTCATTGTAGTTTGCTTTATCTTAGTTTGCTTTGTTTTATATTCCTTCTTATGTACTTGTTTATGTTAAGAAAAAAATGTATATTTAAAAAAAGAGAAGCCGGCCTGGATCAGTGCTTGAAAAAAATAGCGCACGGGCGCCCTCTGCCGGCCGACGCGGGAATTTCCTAGCCA